TCTCTCTCTCTCTCTCTCTCTCTCTCTCTCCCTCCTCCTCCTCCTCCTCCTCTCGCTCTCGCTTTCATTCTCCTCACCGTCCCTGCTCAGCTTCGCTTCTGCTACATGGCAATCTGCATGTTCGGCAACGCCATGGCCCGGGTGTCAGGCTGCGAGCTCAAGAACATGACCAGCTCGATCTTCTTCACGCAGAAGGCATTCATCCGCACCGTGAGAGTCGAGCTGAGAAACTGCTCTCTTGCTGGGCTTGCATGGCTGGACGGCGTCAGACCCAAGAGACTCCTTCAGAAAGGTGTGACCATGCAGCGCGCAAAGTTGGACTGGACGAGAGCGATGAGAAACACGTCGAGTGAGGGGAGGGAGAGGAGAAGCGACGCAGGGAAGCTGCTGGGGAAGGCCAGCACAAAGAAGAAGACCAAGAAACCATCAGAAGCAGAGGAGCAGAAGCAGATGCAGCAGGTTTGTCAGGGATGTTCCTCCTTCCCTCTGTGACAGGTTTCTTCCGTCAGATCCTTGCGACGGTCAAGGAGTGGATGCGGAAGGGGATCGTAGAGGGGCAGCTGAATCAGCCTTACAGCTGGAAGGTAGCTGACAAGTATCGTGTGGACAGGGAGGAAGAGAAGTTCTGGGATGGAGACAAGACGAGCAAATATTACCAGGACCCGCGATACGCCCAGGCCTGGGAAGCGATCAATCAGACCATGGACAAGGCAGATGACTCAGACTCGGTCGGAGACATTTTCGACTACAATGCTTACTTGTCAAAGTACCTGCGAGGGGGCGGTGGCGATGGCAGCGAGGAAGACGAGGGAGAGGATGAGAGGGCGAAGGAAGGAGCAAGGTGGAGCGAGGATAGGAGAAGACGGGAAGACCAGAGGAAGGGATCGAGAGGGGGGGAAGGGGGTACAAGAGGAGGCAGTGAGATTTTAGGGGCAAAAGGCGGGGGGGGAGGAGGGAGAGCAAGCGAGGGGATAGAGGAAGATAGCTATTTTGATCGGAAGCTGCTGCAACGGATCAAAAAGCAGTCAGCCCTTGACATGTATGAAGATGAGCCTTCGTTTGCCCGCCTTCACCCTCGGGATTTCTTCGCCAGGGGCCTCCTCGCCCTCATTCACCGCGAGAACATCTCAAGCCTGCACCTCACTGAGGAGGAGAGGAAAGTAGAAGCTGCCAAGTGGGAGGTATGAGGGGTTGGTGGAGGGGAGGAAAGGTCGTGGAGACAGACTGGGACAAGGAGGAGAACGAGGAGGAGAAGGACGGAGAGGAGGAGGAGAAGGAGGGGGGGGGGGGGAGGAGAGATGCTGAGGAGACTTTATCAGGTGTATCGAGACTTGACGACAGGCGATATGTTTTACGTCAACAACGAGACGTATGAGTCAAGATGGAACTACCCCAGGGGCCTCAAGTACTCGGGTATTCTACAGTTCCTCTTTCTAACTACCTACCTACCTACCTACCTACCTACCTCTCCCTACCTTCTCCTCTCACTTTAATCTCCTGTCTCAACTTCTGACTCGCTCTAGATCTCCATGGCTACGGCGCTACGGCCCATCTCTGCGACTTTGTGATTCCGGACTGCCTCCCTCGCAAGCTGTTGGAGGTGCGAATGCGCGAGGAGGAGGGGAAAGAGGACGGAGAGGCTGAAGTGGAGCAGGTGGACTGGAACGAGACCATAAGGAGAGGATGGGAGACTGGAGACTGGCGGACTTTCCGGGAGCTGAGAAGCAACTACAGTGATGCTTGCTTGAAGTTTCTTGTCAATTGCACTCCGGGATCGAGGATCTACATGAGACTCGCAGAACCCTACAGGTCACTCTCCTCCTCTCATCTTCTCCTCCTCTCATCTTCTCCTCCTCTCATCTTCTCCTCCTCTCGCCACTCCTCGTCTCCTCCTCTCCCCTCCTACTTTTCTTCTCCTATATTCCTTCTTCTCTCCTTCTCTTGCTTCTCCCTCCCTCCAACTCCTCTTCATTCTTCAGCTTCTTCCCCTTCTTCCTCATCCCCAACCACCACCACCACCACCACCTCCTCCTCCTCCTCCTCCTCCTCCTCCCCCCACCATAACTGCTAATAATTTCACTGTTCCACTCACGCCAGTGTTTCAGGTTTGAGTCGGAGATGATGTGCGATGACCCGGCAGAAATCGACCCTGAGAGCGACTGGGACAAAGTTGGAGTGATCGAGTTCGGTGTACCAGTCAAGTGCTTCCCACGGCACATATGGTCTCTCCTGCCCTCCTCCTCCTCCTCCTCCTCATCATCATCATCATCATCATCATCATCATCATCATCATCGCCACCACAACTAGCATCATCATCGCCACCACCACTAGCATCATCATCGCCACCACCACTAGCATCATCATCATCATCATCATCATCATCATCATCATCATCGTCATCTTCATCTTCGTCGTCTTCATCAAATCTATCCATCTTCGCTCCTTCCTGATTCACTGCGCCTTTTTAACAAGCTGTCAGGATTCGAGATCCCTTCAAGAACGAAACTCGAACCTACCCGGGCTTCCTTCCCCTACCTACCTTCGTACTCCTCTTCCTGCTCCTCTTGCCCTCACCGCTTATCTCTTTCTCCTTCAGGACGAGTGGGAGGATATCAAGGAGGAGAGGGCCTGGCGAACACCATGGGTGGAGGAGTACGAAGAACTGAAGGAAGCGATCAAAGAGTCACTGAGGAAGGAGCGAGAGGAGAAGCGGCAGGGAAAGATTCGTAAGTCCTACCGGGAGTTGCAGGCCGAGTACATGGCGCGGAAGAAACGCAGGGCCAACGTAACGAGCACATCGATGGTGACAATGAGAGACGAACGTGAACGATGAAAGAGCAGGATGAACAAAAGTATCAATCCATGTTAGTGCCGTCCTGCTCCTTAGTCTGTTCTCGAGCTGTTGGAAGGCTCAATCAAGATCAACAAAGACGTCAAACTCGATGTCACGATCTTATTATTCCAAAAGCTTCTCAACCTACTTCCGTCTCGCTTCCCCTCGCCCTCTCCTTTCCCTTGCTCCCTTGTGATCCATTCAACCTCTTCGGACGCTTCAGTAACCTCCTGCTAGCCCGAGCACCTTCATGTACATGTACCACCATGTGCTCGGATCAGCAAGTCAATCTATCGGCCGCTCTATTAGTACAAGGCCCCACGCACCCCATAGCCCGTCCTCCTACACTGACTTACCCTACTGCTCCATCAGCGGTACTGAGATCACCGGGGTCTGAACCACTTGCCGTGTACGATATGGGCGAACAACTTGGACTGCGAAAGTTCATCAGCATCAGCAACAGGACGCGCGGGCCAACCCAGAGGCAGTAGCTCCTCGTTGCTGCCAGGATGACGTCATCCAGCCCCACGCTGCAGCATCCACGTGTCTCGTCAGGAGGACGACGAGGACGACGAGGGGGACGACGAGGAGGACGAGGAGGACGAGGACGAGGACGAGAAGGAGGACGAGGACCAGGAGGACAAGGAGGACGAGGACGAGGAGGACAAGGACGAGGACGAGGACGAGGAGAACGAGGAGGACGAGGAAAAGGACGAGGACGAGGACGAGTCATTACATGCGCACGAGCTCGAGCAGATCCTCGCTGGGAGGCATCGCGAGCAAGTCAGTCAGCGCTGTCATGGCTACGGTGGGAAGCTGCGCGTATAAACGCCTTCGAATCCCATGTCAATGTGCTGCTTGATCGCCTGCACTACCTCCCTTAGTGTACCTCCTTCCCCTCTTCGTTCACCTTTCTGCAGGCAAGCAGGCTGCCAATGGTGTATCTCGAAGCTAACAGCCCTCGTAAGCGAAGTAGGAGGGGAGGGGAACGTACGGGGTAGAGCTGTGCACGCACAATATTGGACGTTATGAACGAAGAAGAACCGGATCTTGGGGCAGAAGCAGGAGAGATCCCTCCTCAAGGATTCGAACGAGTACAAGTCGATCTTGTTGTGGATGACACTCAGGTACGTCAAGTTGGGCAGGTCCTTGAGCGCCTTGCCAAGACGGTCCATGGCTGCCTCGTCCAGACTGTTCTCGTTGAGCTCGACCGTCTCCAGCAAAGACTCGGGCTCCATCTCTGACTTGCTCCCAGCGCTGGAGGAAAGACGAAAAGCAGGAAAAATATACACAAGCCCCTGGAAAAACACCATCAAAAACATACAATACACCCTTTTCGCCTTCCTGCTCCTCCTCCTACTCCTCCTGCTTCTCCTCGTCGATGTCCTCACTCTCGTCGCCCCCATCCTCCTTCCCTCTTCTTCTCCTTCCCAATCTCAGGAAAAGACGTTTTCTTTCATCCCACTACCATCCTTCAACTGCTTCCACCCTTGCTGCCTCTTCCTTCTAGTGTTTCACCTCCAAGTCCAGTCGGTTCGAGCTCATGTTCAGATGCTTCAACCGGCGGTGAAGCTTCAGCGACCAGAGGTTGACCAACTCCTTCGCTCCTGCAGATTACCATGGAGATGAGACGACAGACCTGAATTCTTCGAGGAGAAAGAAAGGGCTGATGGGACGGAACAACGAGCAGCAGCAGCAGCAAGCAGCAGCAGCAGCAGGAATCGTGAGCGGAAGTACTCACCATCCGGCCCGATAGCGTTTCCTTCAAGGTTCAGACTCTCCAACCCGCTCATCACCTCCTTCAAACCTGAGCAGAAACTCAATATCCATCCATCTTTCTAAGTGCAGCCCCTTCTCGCGCCCAACTGACCTCTAGCTATCTTCGAAATCCCCTCCCTCTTGAGCTGGTTGAACCCCAAGTCAAGTTGCCGCAGGTGATTCATGCCGGGGAGCAGCTCCGCAAGCTCTTCTGAAAGCTTCTTGCCCATGTCCTGGTTCCTGATGCATAGCCGTCCGATGATTGTATGTACACGCCTCATTCGCATGAAGATGAAATCCATCTGAAAGAGAGGGGTTGAGTAAGGGGAGTTTGTCGAAGAAGAGTAGACCTGATAGTGCCCGTGAGGGAGCTTGTCCGTGTGCAAGAAATTCAGCCTCTCCACCCCCACCTTACGATTCCTGTTGCCCTTCCCTTCCTTCTCGAGCTTCTCCTCTACTCCTTCCTGCTGCTGCTTGCTAATCATAATTTCAGTGGAGATCCCGTCAAGAGTTGTTAGGTGCTGTAGACTTCTCAGCGCCTTGGCGAGCTTCACCTGCCCCTGCGCTCCTGACATCTGCAGGCGAAGGTCGAGCTCCCGTAGCTCCAGAAATCCTCTGTGACATTGAGGGCTGGCACAGGAGGGGTCGTTCAATGGAAGGTGGGCAGAAGAGGACAGCTGATGCTCGTCGAGGATGTGATGGGCAAGCACCGCAAGCTCCTCGTTGCCAAGCTTTGTGTGCTGGAGGCTGAGAGAGTGGAGAGAAATTCTTTTGTTGAGAGGTCGTAGCACGTTTTCCAGCAACGCTCGCAGTCGACCATTGCACAGATCATTTCTCTCTAGATGCAGCATCACTGTCATCGAGCTTGTCAGTCAGTGGGGGTTGGAAAGGGGGGGGGAGAGAAAGGGAAAGGAGAGAGAGAGGGAGGGAACCAAGGAGGAAGGGGCGAGGGAGGATCCCACAATTTATGATCCTTCTGCCTTGAGTTCGCTCCTGCTCCTCCTTCTCAATAGGAGGGAGAAAACCAATCGAGACGTCTTCGAGACGCAGCTCGACATCCCCCTCCCACGTCTGGATGGCCTGGAAGATGGCGCGGCACGGGAGGGGACCTGCAGGATCGATCAGATTGGAAGAAGATAAGATGGAGGGGCAAAGAAAGGAAGAGGAGAGGGAGGAGGAGGAGGGAGGAGGAGGTTTGAAAATGAGGGAGGGAGAAGGGAGAGACGGAGGGGATGAGACCGAGAGAGTTCTTGGAGAAGGACAAAAGTCTCATCTCCTTCCACATCCCCAAGCATCCTCCCAGTGAGTCCAGGTCTCTCGTTCGCTTCCCCTCCGTCCACCACTGCTGATCGTTCCCCTTCACAGTTATCCCATTCTTAGAAAGGTCAAGTTGCTGCAGGGCCCTGCAATGCTCCGCCGCCGCTCTCACCACTACCATGCATCCGCGTGCCTGGAGCTTGGTGTCTGCAAGAATCAGAGACTGCAGCTTCGGCATGCTCGATAGACCATCTGCGGGAGAGGAGGAGAAATAGCAGACGTAAGTGGGACGAAGACGATGGGGAGCAGATGTGCGATAAAAGAACAAGTAGGCGACGACGAAGAAAAGGAAAAACGATGTCAGCTACACTCAGCGCAGAAGATTCAGTGAACCAGCAAGTTGCTCTCCTCCGCTTGGCTGCAAGTCCGCAGACTTCAAGTTGCAATAGACAAGGTTGCAGCAGCGAGAAAAATCTGATCTGAGTGAGTTGGGGAGGGAGGAGCAAGAGCAATAACCTTGGAACTCAACTGGACAGATATAATGACGCCTAGCGTTCTGTCCAACATCAATTGTTGTGATGAGATGGGCCTTTTCCATCTTTCTTTTGAAGATTGGTGGGGGCCACTTGTCATGAATCTCAAGGCCTGGGTCGAAATGCCGGTGAAAAAGGATGCTGCTATCCTCGTCCTCTCTCTCGCTATTGAAAACCTCGACGTCGTCGAGAAAGACAGCCTGACGAAAGTTACAAGTTCAGCTAGAAGAGCATCGAACAAGAGACAGGCGACCTTGAGCGCACCAAATTTCGAACAGGAGATGAGGACATCATGTTGCGCACGCTTCCATCCCCTGATCCTCAGCACCTTCAGCTCCTTACATTCTCGGATCAGCTCCTCTAGAGCTGGGAGGATCTCAGAGATGTATCCAGGGTCTTGAACCGGGCTGGTGAACCTGCACGGCATGCTTAAGACATCCCGCAAACTCCTTCAACGTGCACCTGAGCTCTTGGAGGGATGGTCTCACCCTAGGGAGCGATTGGCTAAGAAATTTCAGCTCCGCGATGGAAAAGCATAGAGGCCAAGGGTGGAGATCGAGGACGTGGGGGGGGGGAGGCTGATCCGTGTCCAGAACCGTTCTGCTCATTCTTTTGCCGTCCTTCACCTGCATCTTCTTGTCTTCCATGTAAGTCATGGAGCAGAACCTCGACGTGTATTCCTGTTGCAGGCTTGGCCTTCTCCACTTCCCCCACGGCGTGACCTCATTGAAGCAGTCGAGTTGGTTGAGAGTCTCGAGATCTCGAGCAAGCAATGCATGGTCAAACATCAAAGTTCTCCTCTGCTTAAGATTGAGCACACGCAGATTCTTGCAATTGTGGAGGATGTAGGAGAACTTCTGCGGAATAATTCGTGAATCAGGAGGGGATGAGAATTCAAAAGAGAATCCTCCCGAAGTGAAGACATGGGTCCAGAGATCAGGAAGGTGGAGGGAAAAGAACGATGCGAGAAAAAAGACAGAGATTGAAAGGAAGCACTGGGAGAGAGGAGAGAAGGTTGGAGAACGGTGTTGACTCACATTGGACCGGCCACTGACCACGGAGTTCGATGAAAGGTCAAGCACTCGGAGGTTGACAAATCTATTCAGTTTTTTTCTTTCGATTACATCATGGTCGACGAATCCAAGAAACTTTGCAATGCTGTCAATGCCATCCGATGTAATGTGATTGTCCTACCAGATAGTTAGAAGCCCTTTGAACAGAATGAAGGCCACGAGGGGTTGTTCAAATAAGAATCTGACAAGCAGAGATGGCAAGATCGATTTGGAACCAAAAGGAAGACAAGGAGAAAAGACTGCTCTAATCAGACGGGAAGGAAATAAACTCTAACAGTGATAAGGAAACGAGCACAACAGAAAGACTTCGAAGTTATCAGGTTAAGCAAGGAGATGGGCACAAAGAATTCTTATAGGAGCTCTCACGTCCAGATATAGTTCTTCCAATAGAATGTTTCCAGACAAATTTGCTCTATCCCATTCGCCAAAGAGGGCTGAAATATCTTGGTCGGTCAGGCCACAGTTCGACAGGTCAAGTCGGATAAGGCTATCCAGGATCAAACAGGATGCAAGTTGAGATAAGATTGGGGTTTCTGCTCTCCATCCCTCAAGGGACAAATATCGCAAGCGAGAAAAACATTTGGGTTTCGAAGCGAATTCCTGCAAGATCGAGAGAGTGTTCAAGTTGCAGTTCCCCAAATCAAGACACTCCACAGACGAAAGGTCGCTTTCTTCTCCCACTCTGCACGTTCTCGTCAAGAACTGTGTGAACATCGCGGAGGAGACATGTTGAGCACCATTACTCCACGATAGGAAACTGGATCGCCGCAAACTGACCGCCTTCCACTTCATCTGCTTCTTGCTTTCGAAGATGTGAGCGAAAATCTTGCTTAGGGCTGGCGCATCTATCCCATGAAAGTCGCAGACCTGTAGTCCAGGAGCAGCGAGGAGGAGTTTGGCCATGTTCTCGCAAGAAGCAGACAGCGCCCATTTCTTGTTCCTCCATTCCTCTGGTTCCTCCTCCTCCTCCTCCTCCTCCTCCTGTGTCCACCCCATTGGGTCGAACTCGTTGGGCTTGTATCGAGGGCGAGTTCGCTCGAGATCTGTAAAACAGAAGGAGACACTGATCTGGACGATGCGAGCTTTCGCTTTCGAGAATGCTTCCACTATGACGGGGCAAAAAAGACGCTCCTGTATACAGACTCTGATTTCTTGGTCCTGCTTCGACATGAATCGAAGCAGGGAGTTACAAGTGATCGGAGCAACGCGCTCATCACTGATGTTGATGTCAATCCTGGACGTCTCTGGCAGCATTTGAAGAAACGATCTTGAGACTCGGATGTGCTTGCAGACCAACTCTGGCACCAACGAGTAGATGTGCTTCTGAACAATGTCGGAAGGTAGCAGCCGAAACAGCGAGAAGTCTGCAGCAGAATGCTGCATTTCTCGCTCTCTTGGCATAAGGTTCGTCCTGTCAGGAGCATCGTCTCTTCTCTTCACCTTGCTCTTCGTCTTCTTGGCCATCGGCGAGGGCAGGTGGAGCGGTAAATCCTCATCATCCTCCATTGGCGCCAATTCCCAAATTCTGAAAAAGAACTCAGTGAATAGTCCTTCACCGGGCCGCTAGCCGGGGAATTCCGGTGGAATCGGGCCCGGCTGCCCAGCGCTGCGACTCGGGCAGAACTTCGGAAAGCCCCAACACTGATTGTTCCTATAGCAGGTGTTTGCTGTCTACCGAGATAACTGATATTTTTAGTTTTCTCGCCGTGAGGTTTCAACTCAACTTTGCCAGTTGTGCTGGGCTTTTGAAAGTTTCCAAAAGCCGACTCGGAGTAGGGGAACCCCACCCACCCAGCCCTCGCGAACTACCCCTCCTCCTGCACGTCCCGCCACCGACCCCTAGCCTGGCACTTAAAATAGTAGTGTTCGACTCAGACCCCCTTGTTCAGTGGACTCACGGGGGGTAGAAGCACCGAGCTTCAGCCACCCCCACCGTCTTCAGGCTTGTGCCGCACAATGATTGAAGTACAACCGGTCACCGGGTGGTAGGGTGACCCCTCTAACGCCCTTTATCCTCTCAAGTTCTCGTAAAACTGACGACCCCCCACCTCCTCGTCCATGCGGCTCATCCTGTCCCACCCCTCCCTGCTAGGGTGATGATCACACTCGGACCACCCCGTGGTTGGAGTAGTCAAGAAGGCCCGGCCTGATAGACTTTGCAGGCCTGGGGGTGGAAGCGTAGGGCAGGCGGTGGGGGCCGGGAACAAAGGAGGTGGGGGTGGATAACAAAAGGGGTGGGGGGCGAAATAGGGGGTCGTGGACGAAATGTGAATTGGGGGTTCTAATAAAAGGCAGACTCAAAGGAAAAGGGTAGGGTAGAATAGCTTGGACCTAGGGGTAGAAAACTTGGGGTAGTCTTGAAGTAGAGGTGGTTGGGAATGGGTTGTTTGTTAGAGGGGGTGGGGGGGATAGAGATGGGGGTGGGAGGAGTCAGCGCGATGTGGGGATGGAACAAACGTGCTGGAGATGCAGAATAATGTCTGCTTGCTCGTTGCTCCCTCGCCATAATTGCTCTTCTTGTCGCTGCTACCCCTTCCTATCCTCAAGCTGCCATGTCCTGCGCTCCTCTGAGTCTCGCTCTACCTGATCTGTCTTGTTCCGATATCCTCGCGATCCGGTTGCCCTGCCTGCAGTCGCCTTGCTTTACCTGCTTGCCTCTTTTTTTACTCGATTGAGCTAGATGCCTTCATTCTCTTCGAATTTTCATTGCTCTCATGTCCCCAATACACCTTATTTGTTAAAATCACTAACACAGCAGTTGGTAAGACATCAGTCAGAATGAAACTTTCGTGTAGTCTGGTACATACGATATGCATCGATTCATAGAGATTCGTTTTTTAGTTGTGCTTCGGTGCCGAAATGTGATTCCATTGCAAAATATGCTTGATGTATTTTCTTCTCACTTGCTGTGTCATGTTGAAGAATCAAGAGAGGGGACATGTACTTGCGACTATATGCCTTGAATTTTTTGTGAAGTATCTGACTTAACGAACAGGGATCGATTTGAAGGAATTTCATGAAATTGAGCAATAACAACAGAAGACATTACTGAATTAAAGCAGGGTATAATTGCCACTTAAAATGAACAGGAGCATTGGAAGCGATGGCTCTAAGAACCCGATTTCTCAGAAACTGATAAAGGACACGGAACAACTGTTCAAGAAAGAGTTTGCAGGATTGGTTCGGGATGATTTGGAATCAAAAATCTCTGACACATTCCGTATTCTTGACACGGATAAGAGTGGGTTTCTAGAGAAAGAAGAGATTCATGATGCCTTGGCCAGGATGGGCAGGAAGATGACGGATGAGGAACTTGACCTTTGGATTCATGAATTCGATGCCGACGGAAACGGCGTTCTAGATGAAGACGAATATGCTCACATGGTCCGATTTCTTGTGGGAGAACGATGTTCTATCACCTGTATCTCGTGCTTGCGTGGATGCAACACAACACAGAGAAAAGAATTCAACTCAGGGTTTGGGGGGTTCGGAGGGTTCGGGAGGACACAATCATGCCCGTCAGTCGAGGCAAACCACCAGGTGCTTGTCCTTTCGCTACACTTGACCAGAATCGTGAAGAAATTTCTTCAGGTGCAGGATCACAGCTCGAGCTTTTTGGGTAGGTTGAAGAAAAGTTTTGATGACAGCAAATTGAGTACGAAAAAGAAAGCCTGGGCGAATCCAAGGATGAGGAGTGGAAGCCTACCAGGAGGAATACAGTTAATGCCTAGACAGAAATCAGTCTTCGATCCAAAGAAGGAGATGGACGACCTGTTTGATTCTATGAAAGAAAAACAATTACGGCTGAAAATTGATTGGAAATGGAAGGAAAACTCGTTTACAAGATCCATGAATAATTTTTCAAGGTCTTGATCATCTTTGGTCCTGAATGATACACTAACACATCGCCTGCATACAGTTTGCTAAGACAGATGAATGAATTATTAGTGACTCATTTGAAAGGACTCCCACACGACCAGGTGATTCTTGGCACCTCATCAAGTTTTGGTGATGGAATTCCCAGCTATCTCACAAGATAAAAGAGACGTTTGACCGCTTCGACCTCGATGGAAACGGAACTCTTGACAGGTAAATTGTTTGACAAATTCATCGTAAAAGCAACCTCATTGCAGCCCCATGATCATGTTGGAGTTCGCCACATTGTAATGCACTTTCTTGCCAGGGACGAAATCTCACAGGCATTTGAAACGATGGGTAAACCTCTTTCAAAGATCGAACTTGACACGTTCATGGACTCATTGGAAGGGGACAACGAGGTGTTAGACCTGGTGCGTTTCTCAAGATGTTTAGAATTCTCTCTTGTTTGATTCGCCTTGTCCAGATGGAATTTACACACATGTTGAAGGGGATTCTGCAAGTGAAATGCGACAGTGATTGCATAATATGCAGAAAGAAGGGGGACGACAGATCCGATGTGGAGCTTATCCGCGACGAGCTGAAATCCTCAAAGCCTCTAACCAAAGTCAGCATGAAGGAGAATCAGGAGCAAAAGACCAACCACAGCAAGATCGCTGTCCCCGCCCCCATCCCAGAGAGGGGTGGTGGTGGCTTGTTTCTCCGAACGAGTTCCTTCCCGGTGACACGAGCGGAGATAGAGGAGTCAGAAGAGCTTTCCATCTCCAAGGTTGAGCCTGCCAAGTTCTCGGTCGCAAAGAATCAAGAGACGATCCTACCTGCGCAAACCAAGGAGAAGGTTCAGAAAGACAACATCTTCAGCATCAACAAGTCGCCCGGGCCCGCCTCAAGAATGTCTCGCATGCTCTCTGGCGGGATGTTCAAATCACGACCATCAGAGGGGAAAAGCAGCTGAGGCTCAGAAACCTGTTGAATCTTCCGAGCTCCGACTCAGCCTGACGGTCCGACGGTCGGACTCTGGACTCCGGGAGCAAGTCTGTCGGCCCTTCAGACTCTGCGGCCGCACATCACAGGCTTGACCAGGTTTTGTAATTATGCTGCCAGGGAATCGGGAGCAAGTTTTTCAAGAGTTTGTAGCAACCGTGACGGGTAAAGTAGTAAAAGCGCTCAGCCGCTCGAGAATCAACTTAGCCATGTCCCTTTGCTATCGTGAGCGGGCCCGCCGCTCACACCGTTGAATCCGAACTTGATGCGGCGGGCGGCACCGTGACTGCGAAGGGTTCGGGGCCCGCCGAGTCACAGTGAGTGCCACCGGGCCGCCAGGAGCCCGGAGGCGGGCCCGGCCCCGGCCGGTGGCCCGGGACTTTTATCGGGGAGTGACTGTCCCGCCCTTCCAACGGAAATGCAGCGAAAGAGAAATGAATGAAATGAGCGACGAAGAGGGAGAAGCGACCTGACGACAGGTGAGGAGAGAATGAGAGAGAACAAGAAAGAGAAAGAGAAAGGAAGGGAGAGGGAGAGGGAGAGGGAGGAAGAAGGAAGAAGAGGAGGCAATGGATATTTGCGGGAGAGGAAGTGGTGTGATCATGTATTCAAGGAGGAGAATGTTGTTTACGGTGTAGGAGAGGGTGAGAGATTTCTGGAGCAATCAGACAAGTGCAGGAACAGGGCAACGGAGCACGACGTATTGCTCTTGACGCGTCTCACTCCAGCAGGTAGAGGTGGTGAAAGGGATGGCGTCTCCCGCCAGTACCCTGAAGAGCGACCGATCGGACGGCCATGCAAGTCAAGTGATCGAGCTGCAGGGCGGTCATGAGGTGGATCGACTGCTGTGGCGTTACCTGCAGCAGGGAACCGACATCATGCTCCAACATGTGTCGGGGAAGATCCGTCGACGCCTTGACAACATGAGCAAGAGCCTCGACTACCTTGAGAGCAACACAACCATGCTGCTGCAACGCCTGAGGAGGAAGGGGACGCAGCAGCCAGTGGACGCTGTTGAAGGATCAGACAACGACACTTGCTCAGTCATGTCCTCCGACGACACAAGTCTGACTGTCCCCTGCATCTGTTGTGTTTGAGTTGATGAAAGGCAAACCTGAAGGAGGCACCGGCAGAGAGCTGGTGGTGGCCTGTCGAGGAGCTGACGTGCGCCTAACCTTGCATGCTCTTGTTTCCTGCTTGACCGATGAGATCGACAGGGTGCGTTGAGCACGCGCGTCAATGTGCGGGAGTCCGATTCATGGAGCGACGTGAGGAGCGCGATCGAGAAGTCTCTAAGGACCAGCCACAACAGGTGCCAGCGGCAGTCTTAGTGAGAGGCTTGCATGCCTGAAGGTGGTTTTTTATCCTTCAGGGGCATACAGAAGATTTTCTTCCAGGACCTCACAGGGAATTTGATCTCTCTGGACTCCGAGTCCTCCTGGACCCTCTGCAAGTCCCTTCAGTCCCTCAAGGAGCAGCGGCACATCTCGCTCGTGATCAAGGTGTTGCCACGTGACCTCCTGTGGTCCGCGTGACCACCTGGCGTGCCAGGACCAGGACAAGCCGTCAGCCCTCCGGCATCCGTTGACGGCGAGCAGGCCCGATGACGCTCTCAGCGCGCATGTGCCGAGCGGAGACTTCCTGCACGCGCAAGCGCACGGTGCAGTGGTGCTTAAGGACGAGATAAGGAACCATTCGAGCTGTGAACCCTACTTGACATGACCCCAGCGCCCTCACCTCCTTGCTGCAGACGACGCGCCGACTCGCTCCAACTCCGACCCGGGGAGGGCACGTCTGCTGAAGCTCAAGCCGCCACCTCTCAAGAGCAAGGAAGCTCGTTCCTCGGCGGTCATGAGGGAGCATGGCGAGCATTTCGTGAGCAGCAGCACCTTGTCGCTCAAGAACATGAAGATCTCGAACCTTAAGGAGGTGGGTGGGCCGGCTGAAGGAGGTCTGATTGACTCGTCCTGCCTTGCAGTATGACGTCACGCTTCCTGAAAGGGGGTCTTGCTTCAAGAACGTATGCTGCTCCTCTGTGGCGAGGGTGAGGGGGATGAGTGGTTCCTGCTTGCAGATCATGTACAGGAGCAAGCTAGAAGAGGACGCGAGCTACGACATCGCTCTCCTCGAGCAGCTGGGCAGTGAAGGCCCCGTACACGTGGACCTGAAGCCGGTGGACCTTGCGTTGATGGCATTGTGTTGGAGAGTGACAAGCAGAACAGAGTCATGCAGTGCTGCAGGCAGGAGCGAGCTGCAAGATCGCCTTGAGATTCACTCGCAACGCTGGGGCTGCCAACGATGCTGCAAAGACAAACCTGCCAAATGTCCGTCTACTCTTCTTTCCATTCCCCTCCTCCCCCCCTGTTCCCTTCTCTCCCCCGTCCCGCCTCCCCCCCCCCCCCCCCCCCCGGTTCCCTCCTCTCCAATGATTTCTTCCAGCATCGACCTACCTACCACCAACTGCCTGCTATTCTCCTCTTCCCCCATCTGCTCTGCTGCTCCTCTGCCCGCCTCACATCTGTGCCAGATCCTCGTCGGCGTCAAGGCCCAGCACTCGGACTACTTCGACGTGTTGAAGGTGAACACTCTGCCTGTCGCTCATGAGGAGCTCACTTACAGTGTCCAGCTCCGATTCACTGCGCCATAAGAAACTCACATTCATAGCGTAATTTGGTGTTCCTTAGAAACTGATAAGAATAAGATCAAAATCACGTACTGCAGTCTGTGAGCCTTCAAGGGAGGGGGCCACAGTTTGCAACCAGGCCGTTCACCACGGGCATCTGATCGATGCTGCAATGAAGGCTGAGAAACAAGTCAAGGAAACAGTCATGAACAAAAATCAACATACTCTTCGACGTTGTATGGACAGCTGTCGTACCTGCATGCCCTTGTGTCAGTTACGACAACAACCCGGTCACCAACTGCGCTTTTCATCGATCTCCTAACTCAGAAGTCTCTCCTCCCCATCCCCATCCCCATCCCCATCCCCATCATCTTCAACACAGAATCTTTCTTATGCATCTCGATCTAACAGCATGCATGCAGTCCCTTACGTGAGGATCGACTTGTTGTTCACCACTGTACACCCTGGCGGGTTGTACAGTATCTGCCGAAGCAATCCAAACATTATTTTCAGGTTCAAGAAATACCCACCGGTCCTCGACCCAGCTAGACAAGGGGATTCGAGGGTGGGGTCAATCCTACTGCTTGTCATGGGCCTGCGAGCAGTTTTCGTTCCCTGTCAGGGTGGGGTCAAAACAAGGAAAGAAGGGGGTAGGGGTAGGTTGTCTATTCTGGGTCACTTTGACAACCATTCTTTACTTAAAAAGTTAAGTTAAAATTCATTAGTCTGCCCGCAGTTAAGTAAAGTTATCAGTTAAGTTTGGGGGACAGCAGTCGGCAGGGTGAGGGTTTGTTATCGCTGTCTTTTCTCTTACTTCATCGTTACTTTACAAGAACCCTTCTAGTCACCGCATGTCATTCGGAAATCGGAACGAGTTTCTGATCGCGGTGCTCTCAAGGGTCATCCTGACACTCAAAGATCAGATGCGAAGCTACCAGAGCAAGTGACTTCGAACGAATCTCACCATTTCGTGCACTATCAAATGCTCCGCTACCCGCATTTGCTCCTTCTCCTGTACCTGGTCTGTCTTACTGCACTTATGGACCACCAAGACCAGGCGAGTGTTGATGATCTTTCTGAAGAGTTTCTGGTTCTGTAGCGGCAGCGTCAGCTCTTGTGGTTCATCGTAAGGAAGCTTCTCGAGATCCACTTGTACAGACCCAACCAGATCGTTGTTCGTCACCTGAGCACAAGCATCCGTCAGACCCCTCTGCAACCTCCACCAGCCTCCCGACGGCACTCACATCATCCTTGTCCCACAAGGTGACGCTCAGAACCTTGGTCTGACTCGTCATCCTCCACTCGAAGTCTTGTTTCCACACCGGGTTGACGTTCTTGTTGATCACCTCCGACGCAAACGTAGACAGCCCCGAGCACGCGTTGACGAACAACACGCAGTACGCGTCACAGCCCGAGAGCAGGTCCATCCGCGGCAGGTTCCTCGCTTCTACCAGCTGCACCCTCAGCACTCCCGCAGCCTTCGATGCTGGCGACGTGTAGACTACCTCTGCCTGCTCCGCGCTCTCGACGATGGCAGCCGGCACGAGCTCCTTGCCCATCCTCGTAATGAGGTCTGACATGCGCTTTTGGCTGTTGAGAATCTTGAGCTGACTGATCTGCATCGCGATCTGTCGTCTCACGCCCTCCATGTCATACAGCTCCATCAGCTCGTTCTTCCTCCTCTCCGCGATCCCCGATGGCTCCGTGCCATAGCGGCTCATCAGGTCGGCGGACGCGATTATCTCGTCTTCACACAGCAAGTATTCCTCGGCATCGTCCCTGTTTGCATTACCGTCTGGATGTACCTTGTCCGACCCCTTGGCGAAGGCTCGTCGAGCAAGAGCAGCAAGCTCGTAGGTATCAACAGACACGCCACCGGGAAGCAGAATCATCTTTTCTTCCTCCAGGTCACGTTCGATGCTGCGACGTTGGCTCTCTTTCGACGTCAGAGTCTCTCGCTCTCTTATCAGAGCTTGCTCTAGCATCTGGTTCGACACGAACTGCTGCGTTCTCAGCACCCGTCTCAGTCCATGCCAGACAGTCTCCAGCAAGTCCTCCACCAGCCCGGTCGTCCCCTCAGTCTCTTCCTTGACCTTGGCGTACGAGTCCACTAAGATGGCGAGGAACACGTTGAGCAGGATGAAGAACGCGATGAACAGATAAGACCACAGGAAGATGTGAAACGCTCCGTCCGGAGCCGCGTGCGACATCTGTCATCACACCAGTCAGCTTGCCCTCTACCTAGACCGCTGGGCTTGCTCGCACTCACCGATGCGTAGAACTGAGTCGTGTCGAGACTAAGCAGGAAGATCAACAGCGTCAGGCATGCGGTCGACATGTCCCTCATCCCCTGTCATGCCATAGCAGGTCAGCTCCTCCTCCACGCCCTCACTCTTCTACTCGCCTCGTACTGATGACCGAACAGCATGTGTCCCACCACGGAGTAGCCGTAGAACACGACAAGGAATAATAACATGAAGTGCCAGAGGTCGCTCGACGCGCGTGCGATGGTCCGGGTGACAAGGCCCATGCGCTCTTGGAAGTCAAGCGACTTGAGCATGCGCAGCACGAACAGAACGACGCTGACTCCAGCGAAGAAAGAGTAGAGGCTCATCGACCCCGAGATGGTTCTTGCTTGCTCCAGCAGCATCAGCAAGTCCAGCTCGGCTTGGTTGTCGGTTCGAAATTGTCTGGCCTTTGCGTTGCCTGACTTTACCAACGGAACTTGAAAAGTGGTCCCCGGCTGAACGGTTGTGACGCCTTTCCGTCGGGCAGCGGACCCGTAGTCGGGCCCGTAGAAGAGGACGGGGTAGTTGGCTTTCATCTCGAACCGCCGACAGTTCTCGTAGTGAAGCAGGCAGGTGATGATTGTTCCCCACATGAAGGCGAAGTGCGTCCAGTCGATCCAGTTGAAGGGATGCGACAGGTACCCGCTCAGATTGTACTTGCGGATCTCACCCAGCAGCTCGCTGACCTCCATGTAAGTGTTGATAAGGAGGAATGCTATGAGCAAAGTGAATAGGCAAATCTGTAATATAGCTCCTTGGCCGGCAAAGAAGTCGACAGAGAAGGAGTTGACCTGGTAGTCCCATGGTATCCTGCCTGTCTTTTGCCAGTCGAAGATAAACTCATGCAGAGCAAAGATGTTCTTAGGCGCGTTGTAGGTGAGGAACTGCACTCGCACTTCTTCTGTCGTCCCGTCGATGTAGGAGCCGTCTTCCGCGAACTGAATCATGGTCTGTGCCAGCCTTTGCGTGAGACGCTCGTCGAAGTAGAGCTTGAACGTGTCTCCCTCTGACGGCATGATGTACTTGGGATCCTTGTAGGCTTGCTCGAAGCCTGTGATGTTGATCGAGGCCTCTGCCTCAGAGATGAAGCCATCCTTGTTCCGATCGAAGAAGTTGGTGTCGTACTTCTGCGGAAAGAAGCCGATCGGGAAGGACAGCTCCGTCACTCCACCGGAGTCAATCACATGCCTCTCAAGCGGGGCGTAAAACTGACTGGGCTCGAGCTTCGGGTTGTAGATACTGCTGAATGGCATAAAGGTTGGATCGTAGCCGTACGGAGTGTCGTCAAGAGTCGTGGACGGACAGCTCACGATGCCTTTCACGGACTCCATGTAGAGTTGGACGTGCTTGTTCACGCTCTGAGCGCAGTCAGCAGGCTTCATCCTCTTCTGCGAGATCACGATGGCGCCGACGATCCTGTTGTAGGGAGTGATCTCGCGGTTCTTGGGCTCGAACGGCGGGACGATCTTGGGCGGGCCCTCACTCGCATCCCGATACTCCCACACGCTGAAACGATAGTCGCTCGCGCACGTGGAGCTTGACGTCAGCTTTGCTGCGTTCACACACGCAGGGAACTGCCCCGAGGTCGGACACGTGATGGTCGGACACCTGAGATCGATCGCGTCGCTCGCGTCAACTTTGCAGAAGCTGCAGAGGTCACATGTCCCTAACCCTCCCGTGCTCGACGAGCCCTGCTGGGAGCAGAAAAGTCCTGTATCGCAATCATAATGCGACTCGCAGGCCTGACCTGTCACACGAGCTGTCAGCGACTGACAAGACGGACGAGGCGTCGGGCCCCTCACCTCTCGTGCTCTTGGTGAAGACCGAGCTCGTGCTGATCGACATCTCTTGTAACGCCGTCAAGAGCGGACAAGCCAGCGTCAGCGCCTCCTGCATCTCCTTACGATGATCCAGCAGCATGTTGATGATGGTCGCCGCTTGGACGTTGGAGGTTGCCAAGACTTCGCCTGACACGTCTGCAGTCTCCGAGAGCCTAGAGACGTTGACGCTGATCTGCTGAGGGAACAAAAGAGAAGCGTTTAGCCTGTTCTCAACGATCTTCCTCCAAACGTCGAAAACAGAGTAGTTTCCACACAAGGAGGTATTTACTTTTGACCCGTTCACATGGATGATTGAGATATTTTCGGGAACAGAAAAAACGATACGAGGTGGTTCCACAAATGTGTTCCAGTAGGACGAGCTTGAGCTTGGCATTGTGACATCAGGAAACTTGAGGCAAGCGACGACATTGATGGTCCAGTAGCCAGGTGATTTTAAGTGTTTGTTGTACAGCACAAGCTTGGAGCCATTCTTGACGGTGTTGGGGCAAGAGGCCTCGTCTTCCCAGTTGGTGCAGTCACAAGTAGGGTTGGTATCACCATATGGTGAGAGGGCATACCGCAGGTAGGTAAACTCTGAGAAGGTAACCACCTCGACTTGGGCAAAAGTAACAGCGTCGTAGTTATCTTGGATGGGACTGACCCAGTACTCCTTGACTTCTCTGACAATCGGGGGGTTTGGGTTGGTAGGACAAGCGACTCCGGTTCCCCACGTCGCACAGAAACCTCTCCAGTCAACAGAATCATCCGATGTGAACTCAACCAGCATAATGCCCGTTGGTGATGTCACTTGCTGATCAATGTCGTACAGATAGCCTGTCAAGTCTACAATCCAGTTTGGGCTGCTGCAAGATGGATCTGAACAAGAGGATAGAGTCACCCAATCATAATCAGTTTCAACTGCAAACAACTGGAAGGTCAAGGTCACATTGGTTGCTCCCTGCGGGGCAATGATCCAACGGCAATTAGAATTGTCCGCATAGTTCGTATATCCCGAGGTGACATAGCCAGACTGGTCGGTGAATGTTTGACCGGTGTGAGGACAATTCAAAGACCTCAATGTCACTTGATCGAGACTGCTAGAAGACGCGTGGATAGTAGGATCCATGCTGTTTGCACGAGGATTGTTTCCCTTTTGCACATGTTCCACCTTAGCACGGGGTTTCCAGTCTCTGAAGGTCTCAGGAGTTTTGCCTGCATTGACACTTCTGGCTCGAGATCTTCTCCGCGCTCTCGATGAAACATCGCAGCTGGATCCCGACTCAATGATCTTCGCCTTGTTCGCTGCCGCGTACGGACTCCCGCTCATGTTGGGAAGGATGCTGCAGTACCCGACCTGTACAACCCTTACAAGCACGCCAAGCAGCGGCAAGCTTACCTCCACTATGGTCTCCAACACGCCCGTCACCGAGTCCTTGAGCTCGATCTTGCCGCTCAGCCCGTACTTGGAGGTCATCAGGTAGCCGACATCTTTCATCCAGATCTCAGTCAGAACCCTCACCGTCACGCCATGCCTCTTCCTACCTTCGGGGTTGAACTTGTCGCAGAAAGTACGCATAGCGTCTGTTGGGGATCGACACATGGTTTTCAAGGCGTTCTCGTTGAAAACTGCGTTCTTGAAATTTTCTCTGTGGTTCCCATATTCGATGGCCGACTTCCTTTTTGAGAGAGTCGAGAAAGAGCTGCGAGCCAAGCTCAGCTCATCTACTCTCGTACGACCTTCTCTTACCTCGGTGTCACCCTGAACAATGACGTCACCGCTTGATTCTCCACCGCTTCCTCTAAAGACGAGTCCTGGTATAGCACCAACGTAAGCTCCCCGTCGGGAACTTCGAACGTCAGCTGGGTTGCGTTTGTGTCGGTCTCGAAGAGAAAGTCTCCCATCGTATCGCTGTAAATGTTGTAGAAATATCGCACCCTTGACGGATCGCTGTCCAGCGCAGAGTCTTTGAGAGGGAAACCGAGCTCTGACGAGCTTTGCTGGATGATGTCTGCCAGCGTGATAGTGAGCGTGGTGACGTTCTTGTACTTGCCGCAGTCCTTGATGCATCCGAACCGCCCGAAGCCCGGATACTCGTCGGGCGCATCACAACTTCCATCTCCACATACAGGATCGCTGAACACCACCTGAGCTATCCCCCGAAACCTGCCGATCACAGTCAACGTCGGCGATTATACTCATAGCATGATCCCTACCAGGAGAAGAAGTCTGCAGACGTGCTCAGGAAGCCCGTCGAGCCCAGACCCGAGTTCATGTAGCCTCCGTTGCCAAGCAGAGGAAGATTACTGAGAACAAGGTCGATGACAGAGCTCTCGACGTAGTAGGAAGATGTGATGTCTCGCTGCATGAAGAGAAACGAGACGTACACGATGAAGAAGATGGACGTCCCAAACAGCCTCACATACGATGACGAGCGTGATAGCTTCTCCCGCACTTTACCTAGGAGGCCATTGATCTGGATTTCTCTCTGTGCAATAGGTTCACATCTACTCTTCAGGCCAAAGAGCTTCTGTATTTCTGATTCCCTGAGGACTCCTTCAACTTCTTGGATGTCTTTCACCAGATGATCTATGGGATCATTGATCAAGCTCTCGATTTCTTCCTCTTCATACTTCTTTGATTGCCTGTTCTTGCTCCGCCTCCGCAACACACTGGCAACTACAGTACCTTGCATAGCTGAGCGCCTCCTTGGCAAGCTTGTTGCAGTATATCCCTTCAAACCTTTTCATATCATCAGCCTGGGTGACACTCCGCTTTCGAAAACAATCTGGTCATCGTTTCCATTTCTAACGAATCAGCGTCTTTCTGCCAGACTGCTCTGAAACAAAATTGCCATCGTTTTCATGGTAGCTACAACAGCCAATTTTCCATGGCCCTGTTCTGCCGTATTCCTCCGCCCTTCTCCCTATTTTCCCCCAACAATCTTCAACTTCATCTCCTTCACAATTTCTTCTGTCTACTCCCCTGATAAACACAGATTGACCTATTCTTGCATACGTCAACTTCTTCTATTCGGCTTATCTTTGTTTATAAAAATCATTCTTCTCTGTCAAGGCTCTGACGGCACATCATAATTTCTAAACCAGTGATGCACTAATCTCTCCCAGCCAACAACAGCAATCCTACTTTGTCCAATTTTCATATCTACTTAGCCTCTGGCATGCTTCTTCTCAATACACACTTAATCGTTTATTCTACTCATTATCTTTCAAGGGCACCATTCACACCATCGCCTCATCAGCATCGCCTCGCCCTCAAAACCCTTTGGTTGCCATTCGGTTTCTCCTTCAACGGGGAGTTCAGTCCTCTGTTCACAAGATAGAAAAGCGGGGGTGGTTAAAAGGTATAATGCGCCCCCCGGGGAAGACCAGGGACGAGTTAAAAAAAAAAAAAGAAGAAGAGGGGGTAGGGGTGCAAAAAGATGCGCACAAAATGTAATCATGACGGGGTGATAGCATGTGAAAACGGGGGTACAGTGAAACTGACTGCCACAAATGAGGGGTATTCGAAAGAAGCAAGGCCCGGGTGGGTGGGTTGGGTGGTCCCGATGCAAGGGTTAAACTTTGAACATTAGTGTACATGGTGGGGTACTTGTTAAAGATAAGCCGCGCATGGGACGGAGCCTGGGGGGGCATACGTTCAAGATCACTCGAAGCAGGTGTGGGTACCCGTCCACAAGGATGGAGATGGGCCTATCCAGACCCCTCACTGCGGGGTTAGGGGGTGCAAAACGTTTTAACTGTCTAAAACAAGCTTGTAGGGTAGGGTAGGTGTCAATGAATTTTCCTCAACAACAGTGGGTGGGGTGGAGGGAAGAGATAGTCACTTTGAGGGTGGGTTCTGTCATCAACTATCATTTTTCAACCCCCACGATTTTATTAGTGACACTACCATCACCCACCTATTTACCCCTATCAATGCCACCCCCCCAATCATTATTGAATGGCCGGCCGAGCTAGTACCTGCAATAACTATTATATTTCTTTTTTTTCACTCACTACTAGTACAGTACTAGTGTGGCACTGGGATCGCATTGGATCCCGGAGTCCGACTCGATGATTCCCGGCTCGGCGGGCCGAGGCGGGCCCTGAGCCTAAATCGGACTCTCAGTCCGGGCCGGCCCACCGCCGCCGGCGGGGCCGGGGAGAATCCACCATGATCCCCATCCCATCTCAGTCCCAATTGCCTGATGGTTTTGGAATCTATCTAGAGCGAACATGGCAGGAGGTTGCAAGGGATGAAGGGAGGGCTACCGCTCGTGATGGCTCTCCTCCTACCCAGGAGTTCTCTTCTCCTCTCTCCTGCTTCTTCTTCCTCTACAGCCTTCCTGTCATCCTTTCAGCCCCTCTATGGTTGGAGGGTTTCAGCTAGGAAGCAGTCATGGGGCCGAACGGGATCTCGAGCATTCCTGCACGATAGAAAGAGGCAGAGGAGCCTTCCATTACCTTACCTCAGCCCAATGCATGCTGGACATACAGCAAGAGGAATGGCGAAAGGGATCTCTGTCGAAAGCAATGCCCGATCCGTATGGGCAGCAAATGTCTCCTTGACCCCGCGACAAAGGTTGGACAGGTTCGAGCGGCAATGAATGTTTACTTCACTTTTCATGACACTTGTACTGGTTTATCTAGTTCATTGTCTATGCTAGAAAGGCATCTTGCAAGCATTGAGCTTCAGCTCGAATGGCTGCATGCTGATTCGAGATACGCCCTTTGCCTTGCATTCGCCATGCAGCTTTCCAGGAGCAAGCAGAGCTACTTGTCAAGTGACATAGCTGCATCAGCTGCAAAGATTCGACAAATGATCGATCAAGCAAATACAGATTTAAACGTGGTGAGCTGTCGAGATGGTGGCTGCATCGTCCTTTCGTTACTGATACGGCTGGTGCGCAGGATGCTGCACAGGGAGAGAGCTTGATTTCTGACATTCAGAAAGCTTCGCAGGTTTTGGCGAGGACAGGTAATGCCTTATTGCAGATGTTCTGCTGCTTGTGACTCTCATGCCTACAGTCGTTCACTACGTTGTGTCCACGAATGGATTTTCAGAGGTCGTGTACACAGCAGATGGAACGGCTGCCGACGATGACCGTATCTATTTGGTATCTGTGGGACCAGCATTATGGTCAACTCGAAAACTAGTAAGATGATGGATTATGAGAATTTGATGATCCCTGGAGCTTTTGTGGTTGACAAAGCATACCAGGACTCAAGGGATGCATTGGTTGCGACTTCTCTGTTATCAAACAATTTGGGTAATACTTAAGAATTTGTCAACAAACTCGCTGAGAAGCATATTCAGGGGATGAGTTGTCGGAAAGACTTATCAGAGCAAAGGTCTTGACTTTGATTCTCTGAGCAATAGGGTTTGCTTACCGCTCTCCGCAAAGACTCTAGGAAGAGCAGTACAGTGGCTCTTCGCGGCCAGGCAGAATGTATTCGAGTAAGTCTTACTTATATCATTCATGTTGTTCGAGGGTCGCTGATTTGGTCTGTCTTTACCAGCCGCAGGATGCCTGCAAGAAACTTTTCCACGAAGGCGCTGATGCCGGACGATGAAAACCAGCTCCCGAAACCTCAATCTTCCAAATCCTCCAAGGTGATCTATTCCGGTCCTGGTATTTTATTCACCCGATGGCTGTCTCTAGAAAACGCAGACGGGGGAGTCAGGGAAGCATTTTGTTCTTCTTGACTCTTCTGGAATCATCTTCCGTTCCTTCTACGGTGTCACTGCCCTCTCTCGTTCAGACGGTCAACCGACCAACGCCGTCTTTGGCTTCTGTCGGATGCTTCAGGTCTTTCTTCCGGTCTCCTGATCCTCCTTGATTGTGAATCCAGCATGTTACTATGAAGATGTTTCCAAATGCTCAGATCATCGCCGTCTTTGACCATCCCGAAGCCTCATTTCGCTCTACCATCTGGCCTTCTTACAAGGGGAACAGGCCGGAGGTCCCACAGGTAAGGATCCTTTAGGGTTGGAAGGAGGCTAAGAGCAGGGGCCTGATGATTCGATTGTTTGTATTCTCTCTAAATGATGCTGATGTGCATGCAAGAGTTGCTCATGGTACTGACCTTGATGCTCAGGAGCTCAAATCCCAATTTGATATTGTGAAGGTGCCTTTTCCTTAGCCTGTCGGGACATATGTTAAGCCCGAATTTTGTCTGTCAGGAAGCGGCTATTTCATTTGATATACCTGTCGTTGAAGTTGAAGGGTTCGAGGCTGATGACATCATCGCCACGCTTGCAGCGCGTCTTGCAGATCTCAGCCATGATGTGACGGTTGTCTCAAGCGACAAGGACCTCTATCAACTGGTTCGATGACCTGAAAGAACCAATCGAATGAGTTGACCCCTCGTCTTGGCAGGTCACGGATAAGGTGGGTATCTGGGATCCTTTCAAGAAGATTCGAATCGACCGAGAAGGAGTGATACAGAAATTTGGAGTTCCTCCCGACAAAGTCGTCGACGTCCAGTCGCTAGCAGGCGACGCCACGGACAACATTCCCGGCATTCCAGGGATTGGAATTAAGACGGCTGCAAAACTTGTGAACGAGTTTGGCAGCTTAGATGCCATCCTTGAGCGAGGTCTGCATATACCTTCCACGTCATACAACGTCTCAAAGTTTTCATAGCATCAGAGATCAAGCAGGAGAAGCGAAAGGAAGCGATCCTATCAAATGCTGAGGTATGCACACGTGAATTGAAGTCGTTGGGGCTCAAAAGACGACAGGCTGCTCGAGTGGGACGTGAGCTGGTCTCACTACGAAAGGATGTGCCGATCGAAGATTTCCAAGATCTGTTGAAGAAGCAGAATGCAGAAGTTTCACGGATCGAAGAGTTTTTGAAATCGCAAGGGTTTGCATCTCTTATGAACAAGAATGCGAAGAAGACGCGAGAGGTCTCAGTCGAGACCTCGGAGGTGTCAGAGACTTCGGAGTTGAGCGTCGAAGGTTGCGAGGCGGGCTCCCCGTCGTGTGGGCTGACTTGCTCGTTCAGAATCTGCAGAAGAGCCGGATGCAGACGTGCAAGACCTCACAGGCTCGTACGAACTCTTGACGGAGATAGAACAGTTCGATCTCTGGATCGAAGAGGCTAAGAGGTGGATGCGGGGACCCTTCTCCACTCTGGGACTGAGTTGAACATCAGGACTGGAAGGATTGCGGTCGAATTCCTCCTCTCCTCCCCCAACTCGCAGGTTGCGAATGTCACAGGCATTGCCATGGCCGTGCAGAAAGGGCAAGCGGCGTACATTCCGATAGGCCATGATGACACGCAAGATTTCCAAGATGCCTTTCAGTGCCTCGAGTTGGAAGGTAACAGCTGCTTGACCTCGGAATTACTTTGACTACCCATCTCCGCCTCTTGTTCTTACACCTCCCGTTTCCTGCTCTGCTCTGCTCTGCTTCGCTCTGCTCTGCTCTGCTTCGCTCTGCTCTGCTCTCTAATCTTTGCTTCTCGCGTGCTTCTCGACATGTTGCATAATCGAATCTTACAGTTTGCGGTCAGATGTCTTGCAGAAGTTGAGCTCTATGTTCAGCGACCCGTCTATCCTCAAGATAACCTCGAACGCGAAATCAATCGTCTCCGTCCTGCAGGTAGGATCAATTTGCGGGATCAGATTCGCCTGCGGGACTGGTGGAGCTGATGGTAGCTGTAACAGAAGGAGAAGCGGAACATGCAGTTCTCACCGTTCGATGACGTCAACCTGCTGTCCTTCTGTCTTGACTCGGGCAAGCTGAATCACGAGCTCGACGAACTTGCCAGTACCTCCGTCTCCTCTCAGAGCAGCAAATGAGTTTGACTTTTTTGTGCAGACAAGCATCTCCGTGCTCGCATCCCTGAGCTGCGTCAAATCTTACAGGTTTGCTCTACTTTCTCTTTGCCCTTCCTCCCCCTCTTCGCTATTTGTCTCTCTCCTTCTCCCTTTCATCTTTTCTCTCCATCCGCTTCTTGTACGGTCTCTAAAACGAGCGTCTGATTCCTGCAGGCGGCTGGAGTGACGAAGAGGACGAAGATCAAGCTTGAGTCCACTGCCCCTGCTCTCGCCGTGAAGCATGCTGGAGCTATCGCCGATGCTGTCTTTCGGCTCCATGGCGTGCTGCAGGTCCAGCAGCCATCCAGCTGACAGCCTCTCTGCTGACGTCATCGGCAGCCTCGCCTAGCAAGGGAAAGAGTGTCTTCCCCCTACGAGCTCATGGAACGTCCGCTGGTGCCGGTGCTGGCGAGGATGGAAGCATGTGGAGTACTCGTGGACAGGCAGCGGCTGGAAAATCTCTCGCAAGAGTGCGGTAGCCTCGTCGTGGTGGAGGGCAGCTGATGCTCCTCCAGGTACGCAAGAAGAGTCTCGTCCTTGGAGGACCGCATCTACCGCCTGGCCAAGAGGAAGTTTCTGATCGCCTCCCCGAAGCAGCTGGCGCAGGTCAGGCCTCCTCCGTTGCCTGTTGAGGATGCTGATGGAGGGTGAAGGTGTTCTTCCAAGAGCTGAAGCTGCCGAGGCCCGAGAAAAAAGGCAAGTCTGGAGACTTCAGCACGAGCAGCGAGGTGTTGGAGGAGTTGGCAAAGCGCGGTCACGAGATCGCGACCTTCGTGAACGAGTGCGAGCAGCGCTGGCAACATTTGCGAGCTGACGGGGAGGATGCAGGTGGAGGTACCTCACGAAGCTCAAGTCGACCTATACAGACGGCCTGATGCGATCCATCCACCCTCACTCCGGCCGCGTCCACACCTCCTTCTGCATGGCTGCGACAGCAACGGGAAGGTTGTCGTCGGTGGACCCAAACCTGCAGAACATTCCCAACACCGGGGAGGGGAAAACATTGAGAGAGGCGTTCGTGGCAGCGCCAGGATGGACGCTACTCTCGGCGGACTACTCGCAGATCGGTGAGGTTGGGGGAGGATGAGACAGAGGAGACGGAGGTTAGAGGAGGTGATGGGGAAGAGGAGGTGATGGGGAAGAGGAGGTGATGGGGAAGAGGCGGAGGAGGATGCAGGAGAGGAGGCAACGGGGGATCTCTGAAGTGCCTCGACAGAGCTTCGGCTGCTTGCCCACATGGCGGAAGTTGACACTTTGCGGGAAGCGTTTCACAACAACATCGACGTCCATCGTCTCACGGCCTCACAGGTACCAGCTCCCTGTTGACCCCTATAAGGGAACCAAAACTCCTCCCCTTCCTCCTCCCCTCAACCTCCCCTTCCCTCCTCTCTCTCCCTTCCTCCTCTCCCTTCCTCCTCTCCCTTCCTCCTCCTCACTCCCCCTCTCCCTTTTTCCTCCCCTCTCCTCCTCTCCTTTGCTCCTCTCCCTTGCTCCTCTCTTTTCCTCCTCTCCTCTCCTGCTTTCCCTTGCTCTTCTACCTGCTCCTTCCACCCCCCTCTCCCTCCCCAGCTCTCCCATTCCCTCGCCATGTCTTTCCTCACATCTACGTCCTCAGGTCTTCGGGATTCCACAAAAGTCCATCACTGACGAGCTCCGGCGGCGAGCCAAGGCGATCAACTTCGGCATCATCTACGGTCAGAGCGCGTTCGGTCTCAGCAAGCAGGTAACGTCTGCTCTCCTCCCCCTCCCCCTTTCCCCTCGACTTCGGCTGATGCACCGCAAGTTGGACATCAGCGTGAAGGATGCCAAGACCTACATCGATTCGTACTTCAAGCAGGTACCCAGCTCTAGTCCAGCTGGACTGGAGCTTCCCTCGTTGACATGCTCTGCAGTACCCGGGGATCGCGAACTACATGAGCTCGATGAAGGAAGTCGCCAAGGCCAAGGCACTGCTCTGACCTCCTCTCGCTCCTCCTGCTGACGCAGAAGTCTAGGGATACGTGGAGACTCTCTTCGGGAGGCGGTGCCACATCGCCAACATCAACACCAGGGGCTCTGCTGGGAACTATGCTGGTCGTCAGGCCATCAACGCGCCGATCCAGGCAACTCATGTTGCTGATGCTAGTGTGAGGGGTGATGGACAAGCAGGGAACTGCCGCAGACATCATCAAGCGCGCGATGCTGCGGATAGAGAAGGAGCTCGAAGAGGAAGGCGTGCAGGCGCGAATGCTCCTGCAGGTCTCTCGTGGGCACCTCCCAATCTCCCCAGCTGACAACCCATGGCAGGTACACGACGAGCTGGTGTTCGAAGTGCGAGAGGGGGACGAGGAGCGAGCAGGGAAGGTGAGGAGGAGGAGAAAGGCAGCGAGCAGGCTCCCTGACCTGCAACTCTCAGGTCGTCAAGCGCGTCATGGAGGGCGCATGCTCGCCCGCCCACGAACTTTCGGTGCCGCTGGTGGTGGACATCGGGTTCGGGAAGAGCTGGGGGTCTGCTCACTGAGTCGTCATATGTTTGACTTCACTTCTGCCGGATGATACGAACGAGATCGGAACGAGGCTCCCACTCCCTCGGCAAACTCCTGCATGCTCCCTTCAGCCCCCTTCTCCCCTGCTCTCCTCACCTTTCCTCCTCCTCTCCTCTCCTCATCACCTGCACTGCCTGCAGGTTCACGTCCTCCCTTGCCACCGCTGTGACTTCTGTCTCCATCTCCTCCTTCACGCAAGCTCGAATGAACTCACACGCTCGCTCGTGCGTTGCTCCTGCCGTCTTTCCTCGCATGTCACCTCCCCTTCCCCCTGCCACCTCGTCCCCCTCACCGTCGGCTTCATCAGGCTCATGTACCTTCCCCAGCGTCAGCTGAGAGGAGAGGACAGGCACAAGTCACTGGTCAGCGTCCATGGTGTTGAGAGCGACAGAGACGGCCTGTATCCCCGCCTCTCGGAGATCCGGGACTATGTTCCGAGCATGCACCACATTCCCCAGCCCTTGACTAGCGTCAGGTCAACAGCCAACAAAGGCAGAGGCCCAACCGTTAGTGTTGAGCCGCAGCTTGACGCTCTTGATGTTGCTGTCCTCCACTCTCTTCAGCATCTGCTCCCCCGCTAAGCCTCCTCCTCCTCCACGATGCCTCCCGGTCCCCATACCTTAGAGCACTCCAGCAGGGCAGAGAGCCTCAGCGTCGGCTCGCCTATCCCCTGTGAACCATGAGTCGAGGGGAAAGGAGGAAGACAAGGAGGCACGGAAGGAGATGCAGGAGATGCAGGAGCAGGAGCAGGAGCAGGAGCAGGAGCAGGAGCAGGAGCAGGAGCAGGAGCAGGAGCAGGAGCAGGAGCAGGAGCAGGAGCAGGAGCAGGAGCAGGAGCAGGAGCAGGAGCAGGAGCAGGAGCAGGAGCAGGAGCAGGAGCAGGAGCAGGAGCAGAAAATTCTGCCATCTCATACCGCAAAGACGATGCTTTCGTACTTCCCTTCCTGATCGAACTCCTGCTTGACTGCCTCCAGCACCTGCTCAACCTCACCCCTGCTCTCTCACTCGCAGAAGCACCTCCGACGGCTCGGGCACTTGGCCAGGAGGAAGAGGTCTGAGTCGAGACTGGAGCGAGAAGGAGGCTCCGCGAGACGCCATGAGCGAGCAGCTGTTCGCCTCGTCCAGCAAGCCAACATACAGCCGCCGACCGATGCTGTACACCACTGACATTGTGTGGTTCCGTGTACAGTACAAAGGTGGGTGGAGTTTGTTCTGCTGGAGGAACAAATGTCGGGGCATCCCTACTAGCATGGACACGCTGCACGCCGACCTGGACTGGGGAGGAGGGGAGGGAGGGTGGAGGGAGGGAGGAGGAGAGGAGGAGAGGAGGAGAGGAAGAGCGAGAGAGGAGGGAGAGAACAAAGTGAGAGGAAAGGCAGGATGCCTGGAAACCAGCGAGAACAAGAACATCGAGCTGGACAAGGCCGATGGCTGCTCCTCCTCCTCCTCCTTCTCCTCTCACTTAACCATCATGTCTTGACCCAAGAGAGCGAGGACGACAA